ATCAAATTTAGAATTGGATTATACATATACATACCAAGTTTGGTGAAATTCGGACAAGAAATAAGAAAGTTGGTAATGCGCATGCGCACAACAACAATTCAATATTTCCATCAAATTTAGAATTAGATTATACACATACATACCAAGTTTGGTGAAATTCGGATAAGAAATAAGAAAGTTGGTAATGCGCATGCGCACAACAAAAATTCAATATTTCCATCAAATTTAGAATTGGATTATACACATACATACCAAGTTTGATTAAATTCGGACAAGAAATAAGAAAGTTGGTAATGCGCATGCGCACAACAAAAATTCAATATTTCAATCAAATTTAGAATTGGATTGTACACATACATACCAAGTTTGGTGAAATTCGGATAAGAAATAAGAAAGTTGGTAATGCGCATGCGCACAACAAAAATTCAATATTTCCATCAAATTTAGAATTGGATTATACACATACATACCAAGTTTGGTGAAATTCGGACAAGAAATAAGAAAGTTGGTAATGCGCATGCGCACAACAACAATTCAATATTTCCATCAAATTTAGAATTGGATTATACACATACATACCAAGTTTGGTGAAATTCGGATAAGAAATAAGAAAGTTGGTAATGCGCATTCGCACAACAAAAATTCCATATTTCAATCAAATTTAGAATAGGCCTTTTCACGATAACGTAGCGCCCCCTGCTCGCGCATGCGCACAAACACCTATGAGTGGCTAGCAACACGGATGTAAACAAACGCACGTCAAAATGGTGAAAACCTGCTGTGTTTACAAGTGTCATAACAGGTTTAATGTTGAAGCTAAGTCCAGAGGCATAAGTTTTTTCCGTTTTCCGAAGAATAAAAGACAGCGCAATGCTTGGATCAAAGCCGTGAATAGAAAGGACTGGCTACCGAACAATAATACTTGGATTTGCTCGGAACATTTTCTTGATGGCTGGCATGGTTATGAACCTACCGATGGTAATTATTCTCCTACCATTTTTGCTTACAAAGAGACGGAGAAGAACGTGTCGCAGGTTGCGAGAGAATCTAGACATCTAGTTCGTGAAAAGTCGCAGGTTAGTTTCTTTTTGTATTTTGAAGAAAAAAAAAGAGTGAAAATAATCAAGAGAATCTCTGAATCTGTTAAAAATCATCATCATTTACAATTATGATTAATGGCTTGTAGGCCCTAGCCTACTACATGTAGCCTATTGATTGATGTCTATTTATAATTTAAATGTAGATCTAGTACTATTAGGGGGGTTTCAACCCTTGGAAATATCAAATATGCATTATATGGCAACTATCATTTCCACTAACCACAGCAACCTGCCCATTTACAATTTTGATATGTTTCTGATATCTTACCTGATAGTCAATCTGTAATTAAATCCGAATATTTCCATATTGTGCATATTGACCTGCTTCGCATATATTTTCTATGAATTTTAATAAAATTTTTAGGAAACCTTACATGCAGAGAAATTAGTTAGACAACAGTACGAGATAAAA